CAGGGTAGGTAGTGGGGGTCCTTAAATAGATCTGGTCACTCTAAAGCGAGGTCAGGGTCCTGGAGCCCAGTCGTTCCCCCCGCGGGGTCTTAGAAGCAGGACCCAGAGCTCTGGAAGGGCCTGGGAGCCACAGGTGGGTGTGGGGGTCTGGGGTCCGGGGAAGGGTCTCCCAATCAGTCTTAGAGCAGAGGCCTGGGGATTGGGCAATGGAGGGACACTGGAGGCCCTGATGGGTCGCAGGATACTCGGGGCACAATCTGGAAGCGCCAGGTGAGGCCGGGGCCCGGGTTCGTCTGGGGAGCAGGGTGGTTCTACACGTAGGTGACCTCTTGAGAGCAGCGCAGGGCCAGTGTCAAGAACGAGTCTGTGCGCCTGCTGCGGAGGCCTGGGGTCCGGGGTAGGTGCAAAGACTCCAGAGAGAAGGTGGGGAGACGCGGGGGCGAAACGTGGGGCTCCAAGGCCAGGCCTGGGGTGTGAGTCCTCCGTTTCCATGAGGAGGGGGGCGGGGCCTGGACACGCCGGGAGGGGGCGACGGCGCGCAGCCCTGGGGGTCCGCGGTTCAAGGAACAGAGGCCAGCCCCTCCTGCCGGATCCCGGCCTAGGCCCCGGTCACCGGGAGGAGAAGGCGTGCACGGCAGGAGCAGGGCCGGTGCTCCCGCTACTCACATGTCCAGGCGGGTGCCGGGGGAATCTGTCTGAGAGGAGCGCCCCGCCTTTTCCGGCGTCAGACTGTCCAGGCTGCGCGCGGCCTCTGCTTCCGCCCCGACCTGCAATGGCGGCGCCCTGCTAACCACGGGCAGCGCGTCCAGGGGGGGAGGGCAATAAGCTTTCTACTTCCGGCTTGCGCGCGGCGCCAGGCTACACCGGAAGTAAGGGGCGGTAGGGCGGGACTTCCGCACCGTGGCAGCGCGCGCTCGGCTGTGGGAGGCCTGGGGGGCCGGGCTCGACTGGAACTGGTGGCCCGCGTCTCCCTTCGCTGCTGACCCTCGGCTCGCGCTGCTCGCGGCCGGGCTGGGCTTGGCTGGGCCCCGCGTCGTCGTCTGCCCGGGCCCTGCGCTCTCGGTCCCCTTGGGACACTGGCGCGTGCGCGGAGCCGGCGGGACGGGGTATGCGTTACCTACCCTCGTGAACCCCGCTGAGGCCGGGCGCCCGTGAGCCGCGCTGCCGCTGCCGGGGGAGGGCTGGGGCTGGGCCTGCGTGGTCCCCGCCCGAGTGGGGCGCCGATCCCGCCACGAGCACACGGAAGTCCCCTGGCTCCGGCCGGCCGGACACGTCCAGTTGTCGTAGGGTTGGAGAGACAGGCTGTTTCTGAGTCAGGGACAGCGGAGCCTCGGCGTGCGCGTGTGTGAAACGGGGGTGTGACAGTGACGCCTCCCCACGGGCACGGAGCCTGGGCCAGTGCAGGAGCTGTCCCCGAGCTGACACCTGAGCCGGCCACACCGAAGGAAAACCTTTCACCTCCCCTACCTTCTCCTTCCTGCAAAACCTTCCAGGGGGCCTTTCGTGGAGGAGAGCGGGAAGGACCCAGGGTTGTTCTCTGTGACCTTAAATGTGCACCGAGACCTCAGATGTCCCCAGGCTGCCCTACGCCCTGTCCCTGAGTCTCACCCCGAAGTCCAGGTCACCGTGCATCCTCATGAAAGCACATGGCTGGGCTTGTAAGTAGGTATCCTGAAGACCCGGCAAGGGAACTGTGACGCTTTGGGGAAGATGACGCTTGAGCCCCCAGACTTCTGGATGCCTTTTGTGCTGTGACTTTTTTGCTGATGCCTCTGGGGATGGAGTGTAAGGGAGACCTAGGTGATGTGGGATTGGGGTGAAGCAGATCTGGGCTTTGTATCTGTCTCCTGGTCACTGGTGGGTCCCCACACAGTCTGGGACAGGCAGAGGAATAGTGGACCAAATTCCCACAGGCTTGCAGTGAGGATAAGATGACACGCAGGCATCCCTCTGGTACCTTCTAGGTATGTGCCAGGAGCTGTTTTAACTGCTAGGGAAACAGCAGCAGATAAAACAGTAAAAAATGTATACTGTTAAAAAGTGACTAAAGAGGACAACTTAGGTAAAAACTTTATGTAACATCTCATAAGGTGGATAGTCTGCATTCAGATAATTGTAAATGGGTGGAAGGCAGGAAGCTTACAGGATAAAGTGGAAAATGCTTGATTCCTGGGGCCACACTGTTAGCCTTGACAGTGGGACGGGTGAGAAGGCTGAACTGACTTGGCATTTGGGGACTGGATGACCAGATATACTGTTTTTGGTCAAGCGGAGCATTTACAGGGACATGAAAGTGATCTGCTGCCTTGGCATTAGAAAGAAACACCATTGTGGAGCTGAAGTTCTAGTGGAGGGAGTTACCAAAATAAATAGAAAAACATACACTAGATTAGTGATAAATGCTAAAGTCCTTGGAATTTCATAAATGATGACAGCAACAGAGGTGACTTTTGGAGCCCACTGAAGATGGGGGCTGGTCATCAGAACCAGCCATGTGACCTCAGAGAGGGAAAGGGGACTGGAAGTTGAATCAGTAGCCAATGGCCAGTGATGTAATCAACCCCCCCACCTAAGCAATGAAGCCTCCATAGAAACCCAAAATAGGTTTGGAGAGCTTCTGGGTTGGTGAGGATGAGATGTGGGGAGAGTGGCGCCCTCAGAGCATGGCAGCTCCAAGCTCTGTCCCCAGACCTTGCCCTGTCTACCTCTTCCTGAGTTACATTCTTTTACATTTTTTTATTTTAGAGAAGCAATTTGTTGTTCCATTTATTTATGCATTCATTGGTTTTTTTCTTTTTAAAAAATATATATTTTTTAAATTTTTATTTGTTGATTTGAGAGAGAGGGAGGAACATGGATTTGTTGTTCCATGTGTTTACGCATTCATTGGTTGATTCTTACATGTGCCCTGACCAGGAATGGAACCTGCAGCCGTGGTGTATTGGGACAATGCTGTGACCAACTGAGCTACCCAGCAGGACCTTGAGTTATATTCTTTTATAATAAACTGGTGACCTAGTAAGTAAAATGTGTCTAAGTTTTGTGAGCCATTCTAGCAAATTAATAAACCCCAAGAAGGGTTTCAATCTATAGCTAGTTGGTCAGAAGCACAGGAGTCCATTGGGCCTGATGGCTGCTCCCATACCACATAAGAAAGCTTAAGATGGCTATGGGAAACACTGACATAAGCCCTGGATGTTCAAGAAAAATGACATGAGATAGAAATCAGGTATTTAAAGATCAGGTATTTAAAGATCATCAGACATGGCAAATGTGATGTTTAGATAATTGCTTAGAGCAAAAATAATAATGTATTATGGGGTTCATCACATGTATAAATAAAATGTGTGACAAAAATGGCACAAAGGCCAAGAGGGGGGGAAGTGTATACTGTTACAAAGTTCTTACACTAGAAATTTTAAAGAAAACAACTAAAAATGAAAATGTAGATCTAGGTTAGTAAGCCAAGATAAAATGAAATAACTAAATAACTGAACTGGCTCCACACAAGTATGGCCAACTCACTTTTGACAAAGGTGCAAAAGTAATTCAGTGGAAGGACAGTCTTCAAATAATGGTGCCTGAGCCCTAGCCGGTTTGGCTCAGTGATTAGACTGTTGGCTCGGGGACTAAAGGGTTCCAGGTTTGAATCTGGCCAAGGGCACGTACCTCGGTTGCAGGCTCAGTCCCCGGCCGTGGACAGGGCATGTGCAGGAAGCAAACAATTGGTATCTCTCTCACATCTATGTTTCTCTCTCTCTTTCCCTCCTACTTTCTCTGAAAGGCAATGGAAAAAATATCCTCATGTGAGGATTAAAAATAATAAATAATTGTGCCTGAGGGACTAACTGTTCATAGGCAAAGGAAAAAAAAAGGTGTTAAACTACAAAACCGTTAGGAGACAGCATGAGAAAATCTTTGGGTTTGGTGAAGACTTAGACATGACGTGAAAAAACATGATCCACCAAAACCCCCAAATTGATAAATTGGGCTTTATAAAAATAAAAATATTTTGCTTTGTAAAAGAAATGTTAAGACAAAAGATAAGCTACAGACTGGGAGAAAATATTTAGAATGCTTATACGATAAAGGCCTTCTATCTAGAATATAAAATGCAGCCTCAAAATCCTACAGTAAGACAGTCCACTTAGAAAATGAGCAAAAGATGTGAACAGACATTTCACTGAGCAGATACAGATAAGCCCATGAAAAGATGTTCAACATCATCAGCCATTAGAGATGTGCTGATTAAGTACCAATGAGACATCACTTACGCGCCTATCAGAATGACCAAAATAAAACACAGGAGCACCAATTGCCAGTCAGGATGTGGAAGAAACGATCATTCATTGCTGGTGGGAATGTAAAATGGTTCAGTCACTTTGGAAAAGTTTGGCAGTTTCTTTTAAGACAACACACCACCACCATGTGACCTGGCAATTTCATTGCTGGACATTTGTCTCAGAGAAATGAAAATGTTCACACAGAAACTGTACATGAGTGTTCAGAGGAGCTTTATTTGTCAACATCAAAAACTGGTAACAACCAAAATGTGCTCCTACAGGTTAACTGGATGAACATACTGGCATAGCCACGCAGACTACACAGCAGCAAAAAGGAACGAATGACTGATACATGCAGCAGCGTTGATGCATCTCAAAGGCAGTTATGTTGAGTGGAAAAGGCCAATCTCAGAAGGTCACAAACTATGACTCTATTTAGATAATATTACTGAAATCAAATTACAGATATGGGCGACAGATTCTTGGTTGCTAGGGGTTAAAGATGGGGATGGGGTGGGGATGGCTATAAGGGAAGGGAGCAGATGGCAGAGCCTGTGGAGATGGAGCAGCTCTGTCTTGATTATGGTGGTCACATCCATCCGCACAAAAGTGAACAGAACTACACACATGCACAAGTGAGCATATGTGAAGCTGGTGAAAAAGGACTACGCTCTAAACTGTCTCAATGTCAACCTCACGGTTGTGAATCTGTAATTTAAAACAAAAGCTAGGAAAATCTTGATGATTTTACCATTTTTGGTGCTGCTACACAAACCTGGAGACTTGAACATAGACATCAGCTGTGGAATTATGAGGAAGGCAGACTGGAATGGGGTGGGAAGATCTAGTTGGGATCCTACTAACACAGGGAGGAGGTATCAGCTAATATATTCAAGGTCGTTTTTCCTAAATTTTTTCAAGTTTCATGACGCAAACACAGGATATACCTGGAATGGATATTTCTCAGTTTAGCCCTATCTCCCTCATAATTAGTGACAGACACCTAAAGCCAGACTCAGAAGAGAATAATCTTAGGAAAGTGTTTTAACTTACATAACATCTTATACTTGCACAAGTGTATATAAAGCTAGCTACTACAAACACGGTAATAGCCAAGACTAGAACAACCCAAATAGTATCCACCAACAGGGGACAGAACAATGAAATACAATGAAATGTACACAGAAAACAGCCACTGGGTTTTAGAGACTGAGTGTGAAAAAAGAATGTAAAATTTCTCCATATTTTTAATATTATATTGAAATGGCATTCTGGCTATATTACATTTAATATAGTATTAACATTTCTGGTAGGTAAACAACGTAAATGTCCATCATGAAATGAATGAGTAAAAATGTAATATATGCACTGGATAACTCAGCCTTAAAAAGGAAATACTGCGAAGCCAGTGTTGCTCAGTGGTTTAGCGCTGACCCATAAACCAGGAGGTCACAATTCGATTCCTGGTTAGGGCACATGCCCAGGTTGCTTGATTCCCAGTAGGGGCTGTGCAGAAGGCAGCAGATCAATGACTCATCATTGATGTTTCTCTCTCCTCCCCGCCTTCCTCTCTCTCTCAAATCAATAAAAACATTTTTTTTTTTAAAAAAAGGAAATATTGCCATCTGCAAATGGATGAACTTGGAGGACATTATGCTGAGTGAAATAAGCCAGTCACAGAAGGATGAATACTGCATATACTCACCTCTGTGAGGCATCTAAAATAGTCAAACTCACAGAAACAGTAGAATGGTGGTTACCAGGAGCTGGCCGGAGATAGAAATGGGGAATTGCTATTCAATAGGTATGAAGTACCAACACAAGATGAGTGTCGAATCTGTTTACAGCACTGTATCTGTAACAATCCTGTATTGTTCACCTAAAAATTCCTTAAGAGGTTAGATGTCAAGTTCAGTGTTCATAAACAATAAAAGCTAGAAAATACACAAACAATAAATACAAAAACAAAACAACCCGAAAGGGCACAGGAAGCTTTCAGAGGTAACGTTTATTACCCCAACTGGTGAACTGCATACAATAAAGATGTGCAGTGCTTATTTTTTTAATATGTTTTTACTGATTTTAGAGAGATGGGAAGGGAGAGACACATTGATGTGAGAGAGAAACATCAATCAGTTCCCTCCTGCACACACCCCAACTGGGGATCGAACCCAAAACCTGGGTTTTGTACAATTATGCTTCAATAAAGCTGTTAAAAAATATTTCTACCTTTTGTTTTCACTTTAATGTGGACATTAGAAAATACAAAGTCACACACATGGCTTGCATCATGTCTGTACTCTAGATGGACAATGAGTCACCGCCTGTTAAAAGCAGCACACTAAGAAC